CTATACCAGGATTCTGAGGCAACAGGGAATAAACTAAAGAATGAAGGAACAGCCTTAGTTCAGGGACCTGTTGGCCAATTTAGAACACCTGTCCCCCAAGTGACCTGGTGGCCAACCAGACCCAGGACCTCGTTCCTCTAGAGACGATCCCTGGAAGACTATGATGACTGCGAGTCATCCCTTCCCTTGCCAATGGACTAGGCTGTTATTATGATTGCTTTCCAAAATCTAATAATACAGTCCTGCTATGCCACCTTGCTTGTGCCAAACTTTTCCTGAATGGACTATTATTAAAGTTTATTGCTAGGGTTCTGCCATCAATAGATTCTCCCGACTCCCCACTAGTTCTTACTTCTGGGACGAAGTAGAAGGTATCACAGTCTAACAAGGAAGGAGACAAGAGTCAGGTTTTTAGGAAAGCCATAATATTGGATCTTCAGCCTCAGACCATGTGCCTACCCCAGTCTTAGAAATTATATTTAAGGAGAGAAATCTTAGCTTAAGAACTCAGTAAACCATTTTATACTCATTTTGTATTCCTTCCTTCTGAGTTCATTAAGAAGCAGCTTATTTTCTTTCTTTCTAATCTTTGATGTTGCCCAAATTCTTGCAGTTTACTTGAAAGTCTTCAAATTTATGCCAATAATTTAGACTTTAGATAGATGGTTTCCATTAAAATCTGTGCTTTTGCAGATCTATCTGGAGAATAGCAAAATGCAGCTCTCTTAAGATTTGTATTTTCTAGAGAAAATTTGTAACTTGTAAAGTATAAACATGGAGAAAAATGGTAGTATGTATAACATTAGGGAATACTGAAATAATCTCAGTGGAATTTTCCAAAAATTACTGATGTACTGAAATTTACTCACTCTAGCCAATGATGAGAAACTGACCAGAGAAATTAAGGTTTATCCAAACAAAAGGATTTCATGCAACCACTAAAAATACAGAAACAAAAAACCATGTTATAGGTGAATACTCAATTGAGTCTGTAATTAATTACTGAAGGATACTTAGTACGTTCTGGATTTTTAAGATTTAAAATAAATCTATAAAATATATAGTTTGATCTCAAATATATATGCCACATACCTCCTCACATTACATGCATGTGTGGATATACTCTGCAAAGAAAAACAACAGGAAGTCACCAAAATGTTAATTATCACTGAGGGATAAGATTCTAAGTTTTTTTTTCTTTTGTTACATTTTATTTATTTATTTATTTAGAGTAGGGGCCTCATTCTGATGTCCAGGCAGGAGTCACTGGCACAGCCTAAACTCACTACCTTGACATCCTAGGCTCAGGTGATCTTTCTACCTCAGTCTCCTGAGTACCTGGCACTACAGGCACGTGCCACTACAACTGGCTATTTTTGTTTGTAGAGACAGGGTCTCACTATGTTGCCTGTGCTGGTCTCCAACTCCTGAGCTCAAGAGATCCTCTTGCCTTGGCCTCCCAAAGTGCTGGGATTACAGGCGTGAGCCACCACGCCCAGCCTGATAACCTTAGTTTTCATTTCTTTCCATTATTAACACGAATTTTCTTTTCACTAAAAAAAAAAAATTACTTAAAATTTTTATAATTCCATTTTTAGAAAAAGAATTCTCTCCCTCAACCAGACTCAAACTTGAACTGTGACATGTTAATCTTGCTTGACAGGCATTATCCATTTTTTTTCCCCAAGTTGTCACTCCCCTACACCTTACCGCCCAATCATCAAGTATTATACCTTTGGGCATCTCACCATCTCCTTGGTCACTTGCAACCATTGTTGCAACACCATCTCACGTCAGCCTAGCTATAATCTTCATGATCTGCTGATGCCAATAAACTTGTATCTCCTGTATCCAGCTCCCTCAAGTTACTTATAAACTTGTTAGATTCCAAAGCATGCCTCAGAAAATACTCCAACACGATTCAGAAGACTTAAGAAATACTTTTATGTTTCAAGTCGTAACAGTAAAATGTACTCCCAGTAATACTACTATACCCATACAAATGGAATATTATTTGGCAATAAAAAGGAATTAAACACTATGTGCTTTGAAAACATGCTATGTAAAAAGCCAGTCACAGAAGACCACATATTGTATGATTCCATTTATCCAAAATGGCCAGAAGAGTCAACTTTATTAGAGAAAGTAGGTTAGTTTTTGCATAGGGCTGGGGGAAAGGGAAATAATGGGGTCAAGAAACCTGTTAGAAGTGCAAAGGTACTCCAAATTTAGATTGTGGTGATGGTTGCTACTGTGATTTGAATATCTGTCCCCTCCAAAACGAATGTTGACACTTAATCCCCAATATGGCAGTAGTGAGAGGTGGGGAGTTTAAGAGGTGATTGAATCAGGAATGTATTAATCCATTTTTAAATTAATGGACTCATGGAGTGGGACTGGTGGCTGTTAGGGTTCGGCAGGGACAGGGTGAGGGTGGCGAGGCACACTGCACCTCCAGAGCCGGCAAGCCGGAGGTGCCACACTAGGAACCCAGAGATCCGAGCAAATGCAAAGAATTGCAACACACAAAAAGGTTAAAAAGAAAAGTTTATTTAAAAGTGAATTAGAGAAAGAGAAGGAAGAGAGAAGAGCCAGGAAGCACAGCCACAGCCATGGCTCAAAGAGCACATGGCCACACTAGACTCCAGCAAGGCAGTGGCCACTGGTTGCTTGTGACTGAGTCCTTTTAACAATTCCCCTAGACGGGGGAGGATCATTAAGGTGATTGGGTGGTGGTCTGCTTCCACGTTATCACAAATGGGCAGACAAGCACAGGTACTGAAGATGTCAGGTGATGGACAGAAGGCAGATGGGTGGGTTAGTCACATGATTGCTGCCATGGTGGAGCTTATCTGTGTCACTAGTTCACAGAGGGCTGATTAGGTTGGGGCGGGGAGGAGGTATTCTTGCAAGAGACTTGTTAGACATTTCCAATTCACAAACTCAGACATTTTACAACTCACAAACTCTTATGACTTTGGCCTTGACAAGGAATCAAAAGTTTACTAGAGATTATTATGCTAAACCATGAATGGTTGGGCTGTCCTGGTCTTCCATCTGAAGATTTGCCTAGGGAGGATGGGATAGGCTGCTGTTTGTCCTGCAGTAGAACGTCTGAATGCTTTCTAATGGTTACACTGAGGCAAAAAGACTAAAGAATAAGCTAAGTTTCTTCTAGGTTTCTAAAGGTACCTTTCAGTGGCTTTATAGGAAGAGAAACCTGAGCATGTTAGCACACACCATGTGATAACTCTGCACCACTCAGGACTCTTCAGAATCTCCACAAGAAGGCTCTCACCAGATACAGCCCCTCATCTGGGAATTAATTCTCAGCTTCCATAACTATAAGAAATACATTCTTTTTCTTTATAAATTACCCAATACATTACTTTATAAATTTGTTTCAAGGAATGGGTGAAAAAAGTTTCCTTGAGGCATCACTGATAGCAAATAGCATTTTAAAGGTCGAGTCCCACATCTAGAAAACAAATGCCTCTGGAAAACAATTAAAATAATTAATGCATTTTAATTTATCTCTTTCAGTTTATTTATATCACAGCTAGATTGTGAATATCTTCAATATGCAGCCATCACTTTTTAAGGCAATGCCTCTAGAAATTACTCATTACTTATTTATATTAGATGAAATGCCAACAAAATATAAATATACAGAAATGGTCACTATTTAAACTATATTCATTACGCTAAAATATTCCTTTCTTTAGACTGCATGATTTACATTGATTTTTTTATGAACACAAAGGGCTTTATAAACATTAACTTATTAATGACACCAGAAAGGTAGGTAGATTTTTTTAAATGTAATTTTCCTATAAGGGGAAGAAACACAGATATGATACTAAAAGGACTGTATTTTGTAAGTTCACTTACAATGCAACTAATCATCTATTTAGCTGCTATATTAATCTATTTGCTGATGTAACAAATTATCAAAAACTCAGTGACTTAAAACACAAATGTATTATCTTATGGCTTTGTATGTCAGAGGTTTGACACGCCTTACTGAGTAAAAAAAGATGCCATCAGAGCTGCATTCCTTTCTATGGCTCTAGGGGTGAATCTGTTTCCCTGCATTCTTTGACTCCTGGCCCTTCCTTTCAAAGCCTCCTTTTCATCTCTTTCAAAATTGATCAGGTCTTTCTTATATTGTATCACTGACCTCTTTTACTTCCTTCTTCCATTTTTAAGAACCCTTATGATTATATTAGGCTCACCAAAATAATCCAGGATAATCTCCCCATTTCAAGGCTGTTAATCACATTTTAACTTGATCACATCTGCAAAATCCTTCTGCAATATGTAACCTAATATATTCACAGCTTCTGGGAATTAAAACATTGGTATTTTTAGGTGGCCATTATTCTGCCTGCCACAATTGCTTTTGCCTTCAAAGAAATCAGAATATACTTATAGTAAACCTTGGGAGAAGCTAGGAAAGCACACTAATGGTTTAAATGAAGAATGTAAAACTTAAGATGAAAAAATTCTTCCTTTCTATTTTGTCAGATTTTGACGATTTTTTTTTACAGGCATTCTACTTTGAAGATGAACCATAATTGGATACACAGGAATAATAGTAGAAACAGGAAGCCATTCAAAACCATGAGAAGAAACAGAACTACCTGAATAAGTCTAAATTTTTTAAACTGAACAGAAGCCACAAAAGCTTATTCTGTACTTTCTTTCTACTCATTGTTCTGCAGTGACACTCAGGAACTATCATTTGTACTACTAGCATAGCTTATATTATATAATGGTACGTTGCATTAAGTCAAACTTCAGAAGAGAGGGATAAGAGGACTATATGTGAGCATACCAACCATGAGTTTTTATGAACCTATAAAACAAAATATCAAAAGGATCATTACATACATTATCTGTGGTTGAGAAATCAAACCTCTCCTTTTTGAAATGCCCATATTCAAAATGAAATGATACCACTACATTATATGACTGACTTTTAAAAATCCCCCAATGTTTTATCCATTTAATTTTTTCAATTTAGCTTTAAATCTTTTTTTACTCCAAGATAGAAGAGTGATTTTTGATGTACTCAAGTTATAGCCAGCATTTACCAATTCGTTGATTCGACTTTTTAAAGTATTTATGCTTGAATCCAGAACCCGAGGATTTTCCATTATTTGTGAAATGCTAATTTTTTCTTCTATGAGGCAGTCTATTTTATCATTAAACTTTTTCTCTGTCAAGAAGATCATATCTGGATAGCTTAAGACAAACTTCTGTACTGCTTCTTCAGTACATCCAAGAGAAACCAGCTTCTCCTTGATATTTGTGTAGTTTCTTTTAGCATAGTCATTGGAAAGGTCTAGGATCTCAGCTCCTGGACCACATATAAGAACCAGCAGTTCCCCACTGTTCAAGTTGAAAGTTGACTGTAAAAATTCAATGTTAGCTTTTACCCGCTTGGTGCTCTGAATTAAGATGAAAGGGTTTTTAAAAATTATCTTCCTGACAAAATCTGAAGGATCATTGTGACCCAATGTCAAACAGATTTCCTGCAAAAACTGAATCATCTGTTTATTCAGATCAAGACTATTAGAGAAGGTACGAGGAGCACTGGTCAACAATCGACAAAGGCACTTACGGGTCAATCCAACTGAGTAAAGGAACTTTATATTATTCTCTAAGTTTAGGTTGTTATTGGACCGAAAAAAGGATTCAGGAGAACGGTCTACAATATTTACAATTTCAAGGTCTGATGTCATAATCCTTCTCCACAGATCCCAACGTTTTGAAAGACTTTCGGAAGTACGAGTTATAGCTCGTGGATATCTTGATATGATGCTGGCAATCACTTCTTTGCTAGCTCCTTTGGAAAGAAGAAACATCTTCAAGTCCTGCTCATTAGTAAACATCCTATTAAAAACCCCAGGCTGTCGTTTCTTTGCCATGTCAATATCTACTCCCATGGTAAGTAAGTTGTTCAATAGGTCCTCATTCTCCACAGGTTCATTGCCTGCACACTTTGTACCAAAGAGTCTAAATGAAACTGAATTGAAGAAGATTTTTGCTGAAAATTGGATCATCCAACACCTTGAGCCAAAGGGAAAGTTACTTCTCAAATACCAGAGGTTTCTTGGTGACATAATGGTCAGGTAGCCCAAATCTTTTGGAATGCTGCATAAAACAATATGTATAATAGTATATAAATACATGTGTTCAACAGCTGAATGACCATACTATGATTCTATAAGCATCATGGACATTTCTATAAGAATACACCTATAGCTCCAGCTCTCCTGGTGCTGTGGTTAACAGTTCAGCCACTGTACTTTCACTCCATAGTTCACTGCTTCTGTTGATTATTTGTAGGTCCAGGGCTTCTTTCATTTTTAACATAAAGAAAAGCAGGAGAGTACCATCAGTGCCCCAGAATTATTCCTGCTTTTTTCTTGCTCTTTTGATTTGGCCTGCCTGCCTTAGCTACCCCAAACCAGTTATTCCTCTCAATCTCTGTTTTGTCCTACTGGTTTCAAAATCTTTGGCTCACTTCTAACAACTGACACTTTCATTCCTTGTATTCCAATGTTCCAAATCTTTGACCTTGCCCTGCCCACAGATACTAGACTTCTTTGCCTCTAGTTTCCTGGTTTCAAACCCTAAATCTAGCTCTGAAAACCAATACCTCAGATTATCTAACTTCCACCCTAACACCTTTTCTGGAGTCACAGTATCCTTTAAATCCATGCTATCATTATGGCCTCATTTCTTAGTTTACACACACCACTCATCAACAAAGAGCTCCTGATCCTAATCTCCGTCTCATTCAGTTCACCCTATTATTTCCTTGATTGTAACCCAAAAATTCCAAACAAATTATCACCTTCAAAATGAGCTAGTTAGGATATTTAATCCATATGTGGAACTGTGCTGAGAGATGACATGTAAACATTAAAATGTTACTTTTACAGTCCTCATTTTCTGTCACCATATTATATAAGACTAATCCAGGGCTGTCTGCATCTGTTGCAAGACACTTATAACCTTCCTGCTAGAAGCACTTGCACTAAAACCTCAATGACTCACTTTCCTGATCACTTAGAAATGGGGCACAAAACATATGAACTTATATATGATTATAATCATAGGTTCCTACTAAAATGAACATCTCCATTTACAGGAACTCTTTTATGAGGAAAGCAACAGAAAAAGTTCTATTATTCAACGCATCTGTTGATTTGTTTCTAAGCTACCTGTGAACTGCCACTTGATAATACATATATTTATATAAACTTTACTTTCTCCTGCTCAAATATATACAGCTGGGACAAACTTAGTGATTGATCTCTAATTAATTACAATGGGCTCTTAGAAAAGAAATTTCCTTTTTCCCCTTCTCCCAATTAAGCATAAAATAGAAAATAAAGATAGATGGTTCTAACCCACCACTAACATTTTGGAGCTTAAGATATTGCTTTCAAGATCTATTTCAAAGAAAGCCTCTTTGTGTCTGCCCTTTCAAGTATTCTCATTTTAACAAGAACTTGTATTATGCCTACAGGCTGAGAATTTTCAGATTCTCAAAGCATTGGGAAAAGATTCCAAAACTACAGAATCAGTATTCAAGCCCAAACAAAGGGTACTCACAAAGCATACCTCAAACAACAACAAATGCACATTTTAGATTGATCCATACTCTGCTAAGGTCAATATTCTTCACTTATCCATAATACCACATACTACTCTGTAAATACATATTTTTCCAAAACTGCATGTATTTGGAAACTTAAAATAAGAACCTTCATCTAACTAAAGAATGAAGGCTCTACTTTACACAGCTCCTTGACCTTTTCTCTCTCAGATGCTCAAGAGTGACATCTACTGGATAACAGGACAAGTCAATGCATGATGATCCAACGGAATATAGGAAGAAAATAGTAAAACTACGATATTTGTCTTAGCTGGTGAAATTTTCCAATTTTTACATATGTTATATCATGCGCACAATATAATAGTACTGTCAGACATGTATACAATCAATCAATAAATATATATATATTGGAGGTACATCACTTTTACTGGTAGTGTACACAAACAAAAAAGTATGAAGACCAATACTCTGGACAGTACACTTTCTTGAGATTATTAGCACCATGATAAACATGGTTGGCCACAGAATGCTCAACAGAAATTTTACTAATGGCAAACTAAACATAAGTGAAAATTATGGTTAAATTTCTAATACAGATGTAATAAATCTATTAATGTTTCTTCTAAATCTGTCACAAGTAAATTTTATGTCTATGAATAACTCATTTGCCATGGAAACATCTTCCACATGAATCAGCATGCATAAAATTTAACTGAGCATCTTTCCTAGTCCCCAAACTTGCCCTCTTCTGATTACGGCTATCACTATCATCATTCTAAGAGTCATTTGAGATAAAAATCTAAAACTGAGGTTTGCCTTCTTCTCCCTCAACCCCACAGTTACCAAATCATATAGATTCAGCTTCTTCAGCATCTCTGAAATCCTATCTCTCTACTCTCCATTATTCTTACTGTTACAAGTCTTCATTCTCTCTCACTCAGCCTTTAACAGACACGTGGCTTGCTTCTCTAACACCCATTACTCAAAACTGCCACCATAATGATATTCATTCTTTTTTTAAAAAGTGATTGTCCTTCATTCTCTCATTTAAAGCCTTCCTTCTGTAGCTCTCCCCCAGAAAGAAAAATCTTCAAACTGACCTTTAAAGCCCTCACCACATAATTCTAATTACCTTTTCAGCTATCTTGTCTATTATACAACCTCGCTACCTGGCACCATCTCCCTCAAACTTCTCATCCCGAGCATCCTTGCCCATTCCTATCTCTCTGGAAAGGCCATCTTCCTGATTCCTATCCATTGCACAAGGTCCTTCAAATCTTTAACTCAAAATACTTACTGTTGAGGTGAATTACTTGTTTTAAAATTTCTTATTAAGGAATCTAAAATTAAGTATTCTATTTATATAGAAAAAAGAACTGAAATGGACTTAAAACTGGCAACTGAAATATGGTCTTGATTACAAAACTAAAATGCAATACATTTCCCCCCAAAATACGTGTGGTCTCAGCTAACCCTAAAAACAACAGAAACTTGGTGAACATATGATGAAATAGGGGAAATCTCAAATTTGTTACCAGAAGGGAAGCTGGCTTCATCGACCAAATTTTAAGTGTTCAAATTCTTTAACTCAGCATTTCTACCTCTTGAAGATTATTCAAATGAAATAAAAGATGAAGAATACACATTTGTTATGAAAAAGAATGACCATTATAACATCTTTTCTACAGCAAAAAAGACTTCACAAATGGCCACCAGAAGTAGAATGACTAAACTGTGGTACATCTATGCAATGTAATACTATAAAAGTGCTTTTAAAAAATGTGGTAGATATAACGCAATCAAAAGATGTCCAAGATATTCTAAGTGTCAAACTTCATAACAGTATGAACAGGAGCAATAATTATATTAAAAGAAGAGGCATTAATATGTACAGAGGGAAAAAAGTGGAATAAAAGTTACCTGTGAAAAAGTAATGAGTGTTATGTACTACTTACATTGGGATTTTTAAAAATATTCGTGCTACGTTGCAGTCAGACAAAAGAAAATTGTAGACCAATTAAATTGGCCTTGGGTGGGAAAAACGGTGGAAAATACATATTACCATGATCTATTTTTCAGTTTTTAGCAAAAAAAAGTCATACTTAAAAATGTTAATAATGTTTTACTCTTAGCAGCTGGTCTGCATTCAAACACTCCTATAATATCTAGCAAAGTGAATATCTGAATCTAATAGAAGTATTAGCTTCCTCATCTGCATATTTCAAAACAGTAAACATCCTAAAATTGACTTCAGTCCATCTCTCAAATTGACATTTTTAATAACCAAAAACCCGTTAGCCCAAGGGCTAACGTTCACACTTAGCAGACACTGAGAATCGTGGTACTTGAAATTTGTGAGATTTAGGAAGTAAAATTTGCGTCCTCCTCTGCTCCACAATTGGCCTGTTCAAGAGGTGGAAATGGTTAACCCCTCGTCCTAAGGTATCACATTCCAGCTAGTTTTCCTTTGACATAGCAATCTAAGTGAGTAGATATTTACAGTAATGCATTTCTCACCTTATTTGCCTTAAGGGAAGATTTTGTATCCCTCCAGAAAGGTTGGAGAACCAATGTCTCTAGAAATGGCACCCAAAAAGAAAAAAAAAAAAGATAAAACATCATCAAGACTTCGTAATACTGAACAAAAGCAATCTACCCCAGCAAACATCGCCCTATGTGCTCGTGAGATGCATTACCTCCGCCAAGTTAAGCATTTTTTGGAGACACACCGGAAAGAAAATGGCAAGTGCCCGCCCGTACAGGATGGGTTAAGTTAGTGGGATCACGAATATGTTTTGTAAAGCCAGAGCCAAGTGCTTCTTATACATATCTTACTTAACGCTCCACAACAACTTAAACGGCAGCATCACCCATAACATTACAGAACCGAAACAACGCAGAGCTCCCTCGGTAGCTGGTCTTAGCCAGCCGAAGCACATGGACCGAACCTAGCGAGTTCTTCTCAACATAAAAGCAAAGGAATTCCACACGTAGGCTCTTTCCCTCCCTCCTCCCCAAAGGCGACACTGCAAGGGGCTGCACTGCAGAGCCAGTCACCCAGACTACTAAAAAAAGAAAAAAGAAAAAAGAAAAGAAAGCACAACGTTCCCAGCTCCCAGCCACGAGCCGCACTGCACCCACACGCCCCAGACAGCTTTTACTTCCGCCTCGAGGTCCTCTGCAGCAACGAGGGACGGAAATGGGCCAGACCAGCTTCCGTCCTCGGACGTCTCGCGAGGTGACGTCATCGGCTCTGCGCCCCGAGTCGCGGCGCCACCGGCCCCCAATCGCCGAGCTCGAGGGGCACAAAGGACCGCGGTGAGCGCGGGAAACGACACTCCCACGGCGGATTTTCGAGGGCGGGGCCGAGGGCACAGTAGGCCGGCCACCCGCTGCCTGCGGGCGACACGCGGAGGGAATGTCGTTGCTGAGTCATACGAAGGTGGCCGCTTGATAGGGCGAGCGCCGCGGTTACCGTGGGTGACGAGACGCCTTCAGCACTTCCGCGTGTGGCGTGGGAAGCGCGTACGTAAACGCTCCCGGCTTGTCTTTTTCCCACGACTGCCGCGGACATCCGCGACGGGGCCGCTGGTCTGACTTGAGCGCCAGCCCTCAGGCTGGAAATCAGTATTCGAGTGATGCAGATTGAGATAATCTTACAGCCCGAATTCGATTATGGTTCTTTTCACGTGGTGGTGGGTTTAGGCTATTAAATGAAAGAATGGAGGCGACCGGAACTTCCTCCCCTCAGCAGATGCGTTTTCGCTGCCTTGGAGGCGCCGCCGGAAACCTGTCCAGTCAGCCTCACCTACCTGGTGACGGTGGCAGTGGAGGAGATGAAGTTTCGACTCAGGACAGTCGTGCTGTGACCTCCTAAAGAAAGATACCTAGATTAATGAATCAGTTAAGTCTGCCAAGTCCTCACCGGGAGACGGTGGTGGTTTCGTCCTTAGAAAATAGTCGAGGAAAAGGGTTGGGCCTGAATTCTACACCAAGGTTTCTGCATTACTGAGTCAGGCACAGTTAACTTAGTTTGGAAGTAGTGCAGCAGACTTTCTTAGGCAGGTCTGAATTAAAATAGGCAGAGCGTTCAGACGTCTTTCTCGTCATAGGTGACCTTCATTCTACCCAGGCATTTCAGACCTGGCCACTTTGCAGGTTGGAATTCAGAACTACCAGTACAGTAAGTCACAGAAACGATAGGAAATTACCCATAACACAGACATGATGTTTTAAAAAAAAAAAGAAGGCCCAAATCTAGCTAGGTAGTAACTTTAATTATTTAGAAGGTCCTTGTGACCTTAAAAGTTGAGAGATGGTAAGCAAAACCATAACCAGATACTGGCAGTTCTTCCCTTTAGTGCAAGGTTTGCTTAATCACCATTGTAGGAGTACATAAAGCTTCTTGTCGAAGGCAAGAAACGTGTCCTTTTTTAAGGGGCCCATGTACTTCCTTGAGCATGTCTTTTTCTTTCTAATTAATTCTGTTTTAAACTATACTTTGGACTGTCTCTGAAATGTCTTTCTGTGGCAGAGTTGAAGAACCCATGGAGCAACACACTGCACCTCTTCCGGCATCATTACTAACTCCTCAGTGTGGGAGCCTAATAGATTTTCCTTACTTCCATTTCTATACCAACAAACCAATTATATTTATTCTCACTCTTCCCCCTTAGGTTACTCCTAGCCGGTTTGTTGTCGCTTTGTTTTGAATTCTGTTTTGTTCGTTTATAAGAATGAAGATTTATCTTTGGGAATTTAAATTACTAATAATCATTCTATATATTAAGTGAAACTTCTTAATACAGTTGTTAACTATTCACCTCCAGGTGAAACACAGTCCTGAAAAATTAGAAATTGCTTGTGTGCATTTCTAAAATCTATATTCTTTTGCATGGAAGGAGCTCCTATGTCTGATTTAGTGTTTATTATTATATAGAAGTTTATATACATAAATACATATACAAGGTGCTTTACAATCAGAATGTAAAATGATAAAATTTAGGAATCATTAAATTTCAGACTTTAAGCCGGGCTCGGTGGCTCAGCCTGTAATCTCGCGCCTTTGGGAGACTGAGGTGAGTGGATTGACTGAGCCCGCGGGTTCGAGACCTGCCTGGGCAACTTGGCGAGACTTCATCTCTACAGTAAATCAAAAAATCAGCCAGGCTTGGTAGCGCACGCCTGTAGTTCCAGCTACTCGGAAGGCTGAGGTGGAAGGATCGCTGGAGCCCAGCAGGTGAGGCTGTGGTGGCTGGGAGCGGCCACTGCACTCCAGTCTGAGCGACGGAGTGAGACTCCAACTCAAAAAAAAAAAAAATTTTTCAGACTTTGATTTTAGAAGAATTTAAGAAGACCTTTAAGATTATGGAGCCCCAATTCTCTCATTTTAGAGATGAGAATATTGATACCCTTAGATAGGAGCCAGCAGGAAATACCTGTATTACACCTCTTTGACCAGTAAGTCTTCTATGATTTATCACATGCTTTGTTGTACTGACATAGTTTTCAAGGGTTATTTTATGCTTACGTAGGCAATATTACCTAGGTAATGATATTTTGTAGGTAAAGAAGATTGCTTCTTTTGAAAATAAATTCTATGTTTCCTATTCATAATTTTCTGATTGCAAATATATTTTAAATGTGCATTATAAAATATTGAAAGAATAACATATAATAATGGCTGGCTTAGGATATATTGTTATTTTCTTCTCATATTTCTTTAATGATTTTTTTATGTGTTATTACTTTCAAGAGCAATAACTACTGCCTCATTGTCATTTATGATATGTTACAGTAGAAGCTGTACATCTGAGGCTCTGTTTTCAAGTTCAGGGATACAGTGGAAACCAAGACAGAGCCCTTGACCTCTTGGATCTTATTTCCAGTGGTAGGTCTTAACTCTCAACTTGAGTGTCTGCTCCTCCACATGCTTCTCTCATCTCCCTCCCCTTAGAAGCTGACTCAAGTCCCTACTATGTTGATGCAATTAAGAAGAAAAAATTTGGTTGAAACTTTAGAAGGTTTGGTGACTGGGGAGAAGCATAAAAGACCTAAGGCAGGGGGAGTAAAAAATGAAGAAACGAGGAAAAAGGGATGAGGTGGAGTAGTAACAACATGGTGAAGGGGAATTTTTCCTGGAGGCTGTCCTAAAATTTTCAACTTTTGGGGTTTTTTACAACTGTCAAATTAATTCGATTTTTATGTCAAATTTTTATTGCCATATATCAAATCTCTTTTATGTCTCTTTTCTGAAACAGTGATGATACTAGATGGTATTTGTGTTTATGAATGACCTCACTTGTGAAAAGAAAAAACTGTCCAGTCTTCATTGGAGCACCTCCTCTCTCTCGCTCTCTCTTTTTTTTATATATATATATTCCAAAAATCTGTTGCAGAGGGAAAATACAGACTTTGAAGCCATCCCTCCTCAAATTGGACTTACACACTCTGGAACTGGGCCAAAAGTCAAGTGTAAATACTGAATCTGTATTGTATTCAGAATTGCCTCTGCCCTCATATAAAGATTTTTTGACTGTGCCAAAAGTGCCTGCTTGACTCCCACTGCCCAGAAGTACCCCTTGTTCTTTATGCAAATAGACTTCTGACAAACCGCAGGCCCCTAACCAGGTCATATTTGACCACTTAGCAGACCCAACTAAGGTCAAAAAGAAAGTGACCGGCAGGTCTTCGTGGCTCAGCCTGTAATCCTGCCCTTTGGAAGGCTGAGGTGAGTGGATTGCCTGAGCCGGCGGGTTCGAGAACCCCCAGGCAACTTGGTGAGACCTCCTCACTACAATAAGTCAAAAATTAGCCGGGTGTGGTAGCATGTGCCTGTAGTTCTGGTTACTTGGAAGGCTGAGGCGGAAGGATTGCAAGAGCCCAGCAGGTCGAAGCTGTGGTGGCCGGGAACGTTCCACTGCACTCCAGTCTGGGCAACAGAGCGAGACTCCAACTGAAAAAAAAAAAAAAGAAAAAGAAAGTGACCTTTCATTCCCCCCATGCCTACTCCCTGTTGATAAAACACCCACAGACTCTAGATTCAGTACACAAATGTGTCCCCACCCCCACATCAACTTCACAGATAGACCTGCCACCTTCCTACAAGTCTCACTTGAGGGCCTTCAGAGGAATATAGGATCTCTACCCAAGACTCCCTATTTCCTTTCTCTTGCCTGCAGCTATCTTGGTTTGCATTTGAAAACAAGTATAGTCTACAAGTTGTACAAGGCTGATTAAAGCAGTAAAGTTACCCAGAGTGTCTGAGGTTAACACTTTATTTGTTGGGAAGCAAAAAACCAGCTAATTTTCCTCCACCACCGCTTTTAACAACAATTACTTTTAACTATAAAAGATTTTATTAAAGATTTTACTTCTGGTAGCTTTCTTTTTCTGAAATGTGCCTAACCAGTGTCTAGAAAGACTTCTGAGTCAGCTTTTCTGCCCACACTCTGCCACAAGGGTCTGTGGCCAAGAATTGGATATTTAGCCTGGCAAATTTGCTGTTCAGGCCTGATATAAGCCTGATTCCCACGGTAGTTGTATCGCCAACATCAGCAGGACAGAGTTGGCCAAGAGAAATATGATAATCGTTTGAGA